GGCCCCGGGGGGCCGCCCTTAGTCCACGGGAGCTGTCCTGACCGCGGGCCGAGCCCCTGCACGTCCTGCTGCCGGGAGAGCAGACCTGCTAGATTTGCAAACTTCCGCAGGCCGTGCAAAGCGCAGCTGTAACCGCGTCTGCGGGGAAGACGCCTGCGCTAGGAGCCCCTCCTGAGCGGTCCACATTTCCCTGGAACAGCCGTCCCCACACCTCAGAACCGCGGTTATTCCCTTTGGTCCCTTGGAGGCAGCTTCTGTGTCTGTGCTGATCAGTGCTGCGGCGTCAGTGAATGAATGAGAGGGAGAAAGGAAAGAAGAGGAAGGCGTGACCGCAGAAATTGGTTAAAGTCAGCACTTTCCTCCTACAGCAGGGAAGGTTCCACTGTAGTCTTCTGCTGTGGGACCCTTCTGGTGTGGGAGGTGGAAGCTTACAGAGCCTGCCTTAATTGTTTTCGGTTCCTTTCCCCCATCCTTCTCCCGACGGACTCCTGCTGCTCTGATCTGACACACTGGCAGGAAGCGGATGGACCTGTGGAAATCATGAAATCATGTCAGTTGCCACTGGGCAGATTGCCTCACACTTTGTCATCCGCCCCGTTCCCGGTGCCAGCATCAATGCGGGTATTTGCCCTGGAAGCAGTACCCGAGGAGAGAAAATTAACACAGTGTCTATGAAACGGGAGTCAATCCCGTGTCAAGCAGCTTGCTACTAAATGTAAACCCAGGTAGGGTTCAGAAAGGAGCCTGGAGCTGAGGAGGGAGGGCTGGTGGTTGCCCTGGAAACCCAGTACAGGGATGGCCTAGAGGTGGTCTGTGAACAGAAATTGTTTGCAAATGGCAACCACTGATCTGTTTTCTGTCTCTATAGTTTTGCCTTTTCCGGAATGTCATGAAAATGGAATCAGACCGTATGTAGCCTTTTGAGGATAGTGGATCTCCCCCGCCACCCCAACTCTAGTGAGCTTTCAGATGAGATTATAGCCGCAGATGACAATGTAAATTCAATCTTGTGAGAGACCTTGAGCTAGGAGCACCCAGCTAAGCCATACCTGGGTTCCTGACCTCTAGAAACTGAAATATGTTTGCTGTTATGTTTTGGGGTAATTTGTTATGCAGCCATATATATCTAACACAGAAGCCCTTTTATTAATAGGAGGCTGAGAAAGTTCACCTTCATTCCTAGTTTGCTTAGTTGTGTTTTTGTTTGCTTTTTAAAATTATGAATGGACATTGAATTTTATCAAATGCATTTCTTCATCTATTGAGATGATCATTTGCTTTTTCTTTCTTTTCTTTTCTTTTCTTTTCAACTGAGAGGGGGTCTCGCTCTGTCACCCAGGCTGGAGTGCAGTAGTGTTATCACTGCTCACTGTACCCTTGAACTCCTGGGCCTAAGCAATCCTCCTACTTCTGTCAGGCCTGAGTAGCTGGAATTATAGGTGTTCACCACCTAATTGTTTTTATGTAGTCTGTTGATACAGTGAATTACATTGATTTTTAGATGTTAAACCAACCTTTTGTTCCTGGGATAAACCCAACTTATTTATGATTTTATCATTTTAATATATTGCCGGGCACGGTGGCTCACGCCTGTAATCCCAACACTTTGGGAGACCGAGGCGGCGGATGACGAGGTCAGGAGATGGAGACCATCCTGGCTAACACGGTGAAACCCCATCTCTACTAAAAAAATACAAAAAATTAGCCGGGCTTGGTGGTGGGCGCCCGTAGTCCCAGCTACTCAGGAGGCTGAGGCGGGAGAATGGCGTGAACCCGGGAGGCGGAGCTTGCAGTGAGCCGAGACAGCGCCACTGCACTCCAGCTCGGGCGACAGGGCTAGACTCCGTCAAAAAAACAAACAAACAAACAAAGAACAGATCTT